TTGCAGAGATTTCGTTCCATTACAGGTGCTGACTCTGTACCTAGTTCCAATGTGGGGTGTGGTGCTGGAGTCTCCCTACACATTCAAGCAGTTCTCTGACTCCAGGGTGGTGTCCTACAATTCAGCTAACATCTGACACGGTCTATGTGGTGATAACACCAGATCCCACAGGTTAAGGGCTGGCTCCCTCAAGACTGTCCCACCCTTCAGAAACCAATCGTAAGTCCAGGTTGCCACCTGGGCTTCTGACGAACCCCCCCCCCCTTGGGTTTGAGGAATTTGCTAAAGTGGCTCACAGAACTCAGGAAAACACTTTACTTACTATTGTAGATCACCAATTTATTATAAAAGGATAGATCAGGAACAGCCAGATGGAAGAGATTCATAAAGCAAGGTGTGGGAGGGGTGTGGAGCTTCCGTTCTCCCCAAATCTCCAAGTATTCAAATCCTGTCCTTTGGTTTTAATGGAGACTTCATTACACAGACACGATTGATTGACTAATTGGTTATTAGTGATTGAACTAAATCTGCAGCCCCTCTCCTGTCCCTGGAGTTTGGGAGTGGTAAAGTTTCAACCCTGTAATCATATGGTTGGCTCCACTGGCCACCAGCCCCATCCTTAGGCAACCAAGTGGCCCTTCCAAAAGCCACCTTATCAACATAATCAAAGACACCTTTAGCACTCTCATCACCTTGGAAATTTCAAGGGTTTTAGGAGCTCTGTGTCAGAACTGGGATGAAGACCAAATATATCTTCTTATTATAAATCACAATACACAACCTGCATGTCCCATCTCATTTAGAGTCAGCTTCCCAGGAAACATCACCTGCCATTGGCAGTATAACTCAGAGGAAGGTTCTAGGTCGTTTTCCAGAGGCCCCCAATGGGTTTGAGCCCCAGATCCTCACATCAGCCATCTGTTCATCAATGGCCCCAGTGTTGGCATTACCCTTTCCCTTCCCTACGTTCTCACTCCTCTACTGGTGCTCCTTGGGATCACCTTCCAGCCAAACCACTTGTAACCAAATCTCAGACTCTGCCTGGGGAAACCCAAGTCGAGTTGCTAGGCATTTACCTTCTCTATCAAAATGTCCTTGGCTAGTCTTATGCAATTTCTTTTAAGGATGAGTTTTTTAAATTACTACAGCTTCAATGTTTTTGAATGAGTAATCCATGCACACGGAACCAAAACATAGCAATTTATACCATGAAAACTAAAGCTCCCCCACTCCCCATCCTCTGAGCCCAAAATGTTACCCTCCCTAGTTGTAACCTCCACTACATTCCAAATAATCCACTTGTCAGGCTCATTTTAAAATCTGCTCGGCAATCCTTCAGTAAAATATTTTAAAATCTGGGCCGGCCGAGTGGTGCGACGGTTAAGAACTGGCTTGGGACGCCAGAGGGCCCCGGTTCGGATCCCACATATGAGGGCCAGTGACACTGCCCTCCACAGCTAAGATGCTGAACAACAGCTCAACCTGGAGCTGGGCGGCCCTGAGTCGCCAGCGATGGTGTAGGCTGCAGCCCCTGTGGCAGTGGGTTGCCATGGGCTACCGTGTGTAGCCAGCAGCCAGCGTGAGCGGCCAGCAGCCGCAGTGAGTGGCCGTCCGGAAGCCGGTGACTGATGTGCCTCACCCAGGAAGAGCGCAATGATGGTGCCAACTTGGGCCAGTGAAGCAATGTCCTCCACAGCTAGACTGAAGAACAAAAGGACAGCAACTTGTCTATTCCCCTTCCCCCAATTCCCCAGCACTGTTCCCATCTCCCCAATTCCCCAGTAAAAAAAATCTTTATATAAAAAAAAATGTTTTACAATTTATTTGTGAATAGGCAGAGCACAGAGGATTTTTAGAGCAGTTAAATTATTCTGTGTGATACATGTCGTGATACTTTGTCCAAACCCATAATGTGTCCAACACCAGGAGTGAACCCTCATATAAACTGTGGATTCTGGGTGATGGTGACATGTCAGTGTGGGCTCATCCCTTGTAACAAATGCACCTCTCTAATGCAAGATGTTGATAGTTGGGGAGGCTGTGCCTCTGTGGGGACAAGGGGTCTATGGGAACTCCATGTCTTTTCTACTCAATTTTTCTGTGAACCTAAAACCACTCAAAAACATAAAGTCTGTTTAAAACAATTAGTCTGGTCCTGATCCTCCTCACAGAATGATTCCAGCTGATAAGTGTAGGAGGAACGAAGGAAATAGGAAATCACCATAGACTGTCATGGCACTAAATGCTACAGACCAGCTCACAGATAGATGCTATAATAAGTTAGTGTGACTTTAACCAGAGAAACGGATTGTTTGCATAACCTCAAAGTATCTCCCCCTGAAAAATATTTATTAATTAACAGGCTGGTTTTGACATGTTCAAACATTTTTGTAGTGCTCCCATTAAGAGAAGGGGCTTACTCCTCCTCCCCCTTGAGTGGGGCTGACTTGGTAACTCACCTCATAGGAATAGAACAGTGTTTCTCAACCTTTTTTTTCCCTCCCATTTTCATCCTTGACCAAGCGACCTTTATAAATATTTTCCCTAATTGCCCCCCCATATTAAATATCA